ATGCTGCCAAATATCCCACAATGCACAAGACAGATTCTCTCAACAAAGAATATAACTGTACAAGTATATTTATCCATTCAGCCACCCCACACCCAATCACCTTTAACATTATAGTTTCCATATTTAATATGTCTAAATACACTATAAACACCACAAAGGCAATGCTGTAGTCTAAATAGTCATGTATATTTTAAAGACATTAAAAAGGAAAAAAAAATAGCCTGTTATATTTACCTAGGTATTTAGCATTTCCAATATTCTTCAATAATTCTAAATATTCAAGTTTCCCTCTGCTATTATTTCCCTTCAGTCTGAAAAACTTCCTTTAACATTTCTTATAGTAAAGGTCTCTTGGCAATAAATTCTTAGTTTCCTTTTATCTGAAAATGTTGTTTCACCTTCCTTCTTGAAAGATATTTTCACCACATACAAAACTCAAGGTTGGCAAGTTTTGTTCCTTTCAGCACTTTATAGTTTTCTCTTCTGGTTGCCAGGATTTCTGATGAACAGTCCACACTCATTTGACTGTTGTCTCTGTGTATGTAATGTTTGGTTTTTACCTGGCAGCTTTCAAGATCTCTTCACTGTTGCTCTTTGACAATTTAACTACCACGTGCCTATGCAGTGTTTTCTTCTCATTTATCCTGTCTGGGGCTTGCTGAACTTTTTGAATTTGTATCATTCCTCAAATTTGGAAAGTTTTTGAACATTATTTTTTAAAATATATTTTCTACCTTATTCTCTCTAGTCTCTCCTTCTGGTTCTCCAATTACACATATGCTAGACATTCTGATATGTTCCACAGGTCCCTGAGGCTCTGCTTATTTTACTATAACTTATCCCCTCCCCCTTCTTTCTACAAAATAATTTCTATTGCTCTAATTTCAAGTTCATTGGTTCTGTTTTCTGTCACCTCTTCTGCTTTTTAACTCCTCCAGTGAATTTTTAATTTCAGATATAATTTTCAAAAAGTTCTAAGAGTTCCATTTGGTTCTTTCTGTATTTTCTATTTCTCTGTTGGTATTTCCTATCTTTTCTTTGGTTAAAGTCCTTGTGTGATGGGTGCCTGGGTGGCTCAGTTGGTTGGGCATCTGCCTTTGGCTCAGGTCATGATCCTAGGGTCCTGGGTTTGAGCCCTGATGTCAGGCTCCCTGCTCAGTGGGGAGTCTGCTTCTGCTTCTCCCTTTCACTCTGCTCCCCCTGCCCAGCCCCGCCCCACACTCCCTTGCACATGCTATCTCAAATAAATATTAAAAAAAAAAAATCCTTGTGTGATAATTTAAACATCTGAGTCACCCTGGGGTTGGTACTTGCCAACTTTTTCCTTCAGAATGGGTCACAATATCTTAGCTCAATTTTAGACTGTATCCTGGACATTGCAAATGTTATGCTGTGGAAGCTCTGCATTCCATTATACTCCTCTGAAGAGAGTTAATGTTTTTTGTTTTAGTAGGCAATTAACTTTGTTAGATTTAAATTGCAAACTCTGTTAACACCTGTGGTGCAACACAGCTCAGCTCTTGATTCTGACTGATCTCAGTCTGCTTCATGCAAGCACCACTCATGATCAGCTAGAGGTTCAAGGTTGTATACCACAAAATCAAGGTTCCCCTTCTCTAGCTCTCTGGTTGCCCCAAGACTTTCACCTGGTTCCTCCCACCAGACAGAAAGTGAGCTTTCAGTTGGAATGTTAGCGTTTCCACATTATCAATGCCACAACTATGATGACCTCAGGACAAAGCCCCCCAAATAGGAATTTCATTCTGCCATTCATTTTCTCTACACTTTGACCCCCTCCCAAATATGCTGCTTTCTGTTCAATTACCAGGGCTTTCAGGTGGTAGTTTTTTTGTGTTTTATTTATAGTTTGTCACTAATCTCTGCAGGAGATCTTCTCAGATAGGAGCTACTCAATCATAAGCAGAACCTTATCACCTTTTTTATATATAATTTCAAAAGTAGTAGATTGAGGGAGTACAGATATATTGTGTATGACTATTTCAACAAAGTACCTAAAATAATCTTTCATGATATCCTAGAATAAAAGCATGCTTAAAGTAGGAGAAACTTTAAAGATCAGTTTTGTTCAACACTTTCATTTTGTAGACATGGAAACTGAGTCCCAAAAAGTCAAGCAGCCAATAACATATCAGGGATGCAACACAAGATATCTTGATAGCTAGTTTTAGTACTGTCCTCTCAATACCACACATCTCTTTTGGACATAATAATGAAGTGGGGACTGGCTATTATAAAGTTTTTCAGATGGTAAAAAAACAAAACACCTTACTCAAAGAATACTGATTAAGTGACAGAGGTGTAACCTGGCAGAGGATTTCTAATGATATAAAAGGCCTTACTACCCTTTTGCCCTGTCCTGAGTAAATACACACCTACATTCATTTACTCAACAAATATTTACCGTTTGCCTATCATGTGTTAGCAATACAGTAGGAAACAAGAATGACATGGTTCCCGCCCTTGTAAAGTTTATACCTAGCAGCTTACATTCTAGCCCAGGAAAGAGACAACAATGAATAAGAAGTTTTGCACACTGTTGACTCCCTCCTACTTGAAACTCACTCTTCCCTTGGATTTTTCCTCCATTCACCTCTTAAACGGTTCAATCCTTGGCATCCTTTTTACTTCAGATGCTTTCCTTAGGCAATCTCGGTCTCTCCTCATGGTTTCCACAGTGTATGTGCTGATTACCCTCAGTTTTTCATTTTTAACACAGACCTCTCAAATAAGCTCTAGACTATCTCTTGTAGATATTCAATGACATGTACCATACAGGCCCTTTGAATTGCCATCACCCAAACTGAACTTAACTCATTCCCTTTAAACACCTTTCTCTTTCTGTTTTTCCCATCTCAATGGTATATCTTAGATACCATTGTCTGTTTTACCTTTCACATCCAGTGAGTGGGTCACCAATGCCTTTTAATTCTACTTTATGAATCTTTCTGCACTATATCCAACCATCTTCTTTATATTATTCCAGTAGCTTCTTCAAGGAGTTTCTTAGCATTTTGCATCAGAATTGATTTTCTATAACACAAATCTAATAATGTCATTTTCCCTGTGCCTTGTGGATACTTTCGTCAGCACTTATTTCACTGTACTTGATTACTTAAATAACTGTTAGACTTTGAACAAATGGAAGGAAGGAACCATGCTTTGCTCATCTTAAATTTCCATCATCTAGTAATAGTACCTAAATACCTCAAACAAGGCATTAAAGATTTCTCATTACATCTGTGGATCACAAAATTTGCAGGAAAATACCAGAACTTCAAATATACAAATTGCTTAAATAATTAGCTAAACCAAAAAGAAAATGCCTACTAGGAAAAGTATTGAATCTAAATAAAAATTAGTAAGTAAATACAATAACAAAAACATAGGGCAGATCCCTTAGTAACACATATGAGAAGATGTATAAATTTTAGTTTATTTCATTAGTAACTTAATGCTCAAAAAAGCTAATGCACCTTTAAGCTGCCTTAAAGTCTCAGTAATAGTTCCAATCTATGCCAAGTGGTATGGGCATAGCCATATTTTAAGAGAATAAATGACAAACTGAAGGCCTTGCTGGGAAGAGCAACCAGGAGAGTGTGCGGCCCTGAGGTCACAGTTGTTGGAAAAAGTTGAAGTAAATACTGATATTTAATCTGCAGAAAAGAAAACTTAATGGGGACATAAGAGTTCCTAATTTGAAGAAGAGTTCATGGTAGAGGAATAAGATAAGTTGAATAACACAAGGTAACATCAGAAATATTGGCTCTATGTACAGGGAAACAGAGGTCAGCTCAGAATTAGAGCTGTCCCCAAATGGGACACCATTGTGCTTTTGCAAATTCTCCCACCCTAAGATTTCAAGCAGAGGCTAAACGACCACATCATGGATGTTTTTAGCATAGGGGATTTCTGCACAGAATAGGAGACTGATTGGTTGACCTGTAGAATGCAGACTTAGACTGGTTCGCTTATGGCACCTAACTCCAAGATAAATCATGGGCAGGTCATTTATACAGACAGTTTTGGGTACCCAAACAAATCATCCAGACATCTCCCTTCCTGATCACCACGTGACTGCCATTTTCCACCTAGGAAATAATTCTTCTAAGGTAACCGTTGGTGGTAGCTGATAATAGTACCGATAACAGTACTTAACTGCATAAAGTATCATGCATTTAAGAATGTTTACTATGCAGTTTTTAACGCAATAAAAACACTAAACTTAAGTGTAAATACAGGTAGTTATCCATGAACTATATAAAAATGCCCCATACAATAAGAATGTGAACTTCCTGTTCCTTTATCACTTCGCTGACATGGACATCTTTATTCTTTAAATTACATAGACTCTGCTCCCTATTTCTTGACACCCCCTCCCCCCCAAAACCAGGGCCCATTTACATAGGTGTGATGGAAGAAGAAAGAAGTAAAATTGAGAAGAATAAGAAAATCTGGTTCTAGTGACCTGGTCTTAATAACCCAAATTATAAAAACACAAAAATTATCCCACAGAAACAAATATGGTCTATGTTTCTCTAATGCTATCTTAAGCACACAGTGGGTTCAACAGACTTTTTTGGGATGGCTCAGAACCTAATTACTACATACAAAGTTGTTTCTATGGAGACGCTTTTAAAACAATCAACAATGAACTCAAAACATGTCAGGACTATCTTTATGAAGATCTTAATGTTTTACCAATGTCATTTTCAAAATTAAAAAAAGTAACATCTGGAATACACTGAAGAAAAAAGTTACATCTGAAATCCACTAGAAGAAAAATCCCTTGAGCTGAGCATTGAAAACAAACTGTGCAAATCCCTGAATGGCAGAAGCTGCAGTACTAACCGCTAACAAAATCTCTTTTAGGCATGGGTAAGCCAACAACACTTTATTAGTCATCAAAAGGAAGGGATCATTTCACAAGTAAGGTATTAGATTATTTCTTGTTACACATAGTTGTCTCAAACATTACTCACAGCTGAAGAGTAGAGTTCAAACTCTTGCTCAGGAAGGAAAGAATGCCAGCCATCTTCTATCACTTCAAACATGGGCCGGTAAAAGAAAGGGTACATCAGAGTGATAGAGTCCAGGGTAGACAATGCCTAGGGCATAAAAAAGGAAACAAAAGAAAGATAAAGGAACATACTGCAATTTGAAACACTTTCTAACTGCCAAATTGGTATTAAACAAATACGGTCTAATAATGATGCACACCCAATATATTTTTCTCACATTGTATTTACCACTAGATACAATTATAGCTTACTGAAGCTAATTTCCATGCTTTTAGCATCTAACAAGGTACCTGGCACATAGCATACACTCAGTTAACACTTGCTGAATGAACAAAAGGACAAAAAAAGTGTGCACGCCTATTCTAGAAGAAAAATTAACTCAATTGACACCACTTTACAAAGCCTAATATAAAGGTCCAAATATTTCTGGGAATCAGAAAACAAACGGGTTTTGGTTAGAAAGCAACTGAGCCACCCAGGCGCCCACAACCACAATTTTAAATGCAAGTAGCAGGCACTTTAGCAGGTACTAAGCATTCATATTCTGACTTGTGATCACATACTATGTCACCAGAGACAGGACTTTTCCTTTAAACACATTAATGCTGAAAGAACTGAAAACATTTCAATTCCAAAAGACAGTGGAAACTACATAGAAGCTTCATCAGACTTCCTGCTACATTTTAGAAAACTGAGCAATTGCCAGTTATTCTTCCAACAGGATTCTATTTGTGGCAGCAGATTATATTAGGGTATATGGATTCTTGATTAGAAAGAATAGCTCAACTGTTTTATATAAGAAATTGACTTATTACTCCCAAGTCACGTCAAGATGTATACAGGAGGTGGGGAAGGAATTGGATACCAGGAAAAGGCAAGAGACCAGGTTCACGATGTATATTTACTATATTGTAAAACAATCAATAGAACATTCACTTCCTGAGCTCAGGGTTTCTATATATTCAGTTTCTTTATTTTTTTTTTAAAGATTTTATTTATTTATTTGACAGAGAGAGACACAGCGAGAGAGGGAACACAAGCAGGGGGAGTGGGAGAGGGAGAAGCAGGCTTCCCGCCAAGCAGGGAGCCCGATGCGGGACTCGATCCCAGGACCCTGGGATCATGACCTGAGCCGAAGGCAGACGCTTAACGACTGAGCCACCCAGGCGCCCCTATATATTCAGTTTCTAAAGTACTTTAGGTACTATATACAGCCAATTAAACAACTGATTAGTGTCAGATGTTAATGAAGCTAAATAAATGCAACCAGAAAGTGGGTAACAGGCTTTGCCCTATATTTCCTTTACCGTTATCCTTTACCGTATGCAACTTATATAACACCCACCAACCAGCTATCTCGTAAGTTATAAAAGGGATAAGAAGAAACATGTAGACTGGTCAGTGAAAATCCAAACCCACAACTGAAAAAAAAAAAAACCAAAAACATGCTCAAATGAAATGGGTCAGTAGCATTCCACTGCCCAAACAGCAGGACAGTGTTTCAATTTAACAGCCTAGAAACCACAGTGCGTTTCTTACCCATGTTAACAAATTTGGCCAAATCAACGTTACTACATCACTTCCAAATGACAAGATATGTAGTCAGCTCATCTTCTCATTTCCTCTAAGTAAAACTTAGCAAAGGCAGAAAGTAAACCAGTTCCATGCCATTTTTCTCAGCACAACAGTTGTTTTATTTCTCTATTCTTGTTTAAAAACCAAACAAGATCCTAATGACAGATTTTTAAACCTTTCTGCCTCCTTTTAATAGTTAAGTCAATAGCATTTGTTTTGGATACAAAGACCAGATTAGTCAAAGACCAAAGGAAAAAAAAAATCAATGTATCTATAATTATCTAGAAAATACTATAAACATAAAGTTAATTGCTATAATTTAGTGGCAATGATTTAAAACAATGCAATTTAAAATTTGAGTGTAAACCAAAATAGTTGGTTTGAATGGGGAAGAAAATGGTGTGAGCTCCTCCATTTAAATATTAAATTATCCAAGTAAAATGTCTATTATTTGGAATCTAAGCAGATACTCAATATTGTTGATACAAATATAAAACAAACACACCCTGTCTTAAGCAAACCTGATGTATGGAAAATTCAGGCTTACTAAAGACAAACAAAAGACTATAATTATTGGTGATAATTGCTTACTTTTATAAAAGAAATAACTTTTTAGAAAAGCCTTACCATATATACATACAATGGACTATTATTGAGTCTTAAAAGAGAAGGAAATCCTGTCAAATGCTACAACAAGTGAGGCTGGAGGAATAAGTAACACTAAAAACTGTTATAAGTCAATAAAATCCTATTACATTCCTGTAACAATGCATCAGGGTGAGGCTTTTCCTGTCAATTTTCAATATGTGAGTCACAGAACATGACCAACTATCTACTAAAAAAGCATATGAGCTATACTGAGTCAGAATATAAGGTTCTTCCTTATTACTATTTATTTTCATCAGATTTTGCTTCTGAAATATTTACCTCAATGGAACTGGCTATATTCAAACATTCTTCCATTCCAGGAATATCCAACTGAATTATTCGAAAATCTTTACATTTTATGATGATGGTACCCAGTGGTCCTACAAACCTGTAAAAAATTACAAATTATGCTTAGGAACATATATATTTCTATCTTTAAACATATGATTATTTCCAAATAATAATAAAAATAGATAAATCTTTTTTTTTCAATAAAAAAAGAATGTAATTGTAATTACCATCTATATTCAACTTTCTTCTCCCCAATTAGTCTAATTAAGGAAGAGTCAAGACTGTGTTATTAAAATGTGAGCCATAAATTACATTAAATACATATACTTAAAAATTTTCAAATTCATAAAGTAATTCGTACTAGGCCAACTCTTTTAATGAAGATTATTTGGGGCCTTACTTCATAGAGAAAAAAAAATCTGTAATTAATGTGTTAAGTGTTCATATAGCATAGGAAAATACTTCATTTCAGATTTTACTTAACTTCTAAGCTTGTAGTAGTTGATTTTAAATATAAATATCTCTTTTTCAGTCTTTAAAAACTATGAACTTACAATATCTATTCTAAATAAATGCCATATCTACTCATAAAAAAGTTTTGTATTGGTAAATTTTGTACAAATGTAATTTTACCTTAATTGGAATTTTTGTCTTCCTTTTATTACTGTTGCTTTGTCTACACTTGCTGACAGCTCTGAGTTTTCTTTTGCTTTGCCACTGGTTGGCTCCTTTCTTTTCCATTAATACTTCTGAGTATTCCCTAAACTAGGAATTCTTAGATTGACCAAATGCTATTCATTTTACTTACATTTTGCCCAGTTTAGAAAGACAACTCCTACAGCTATTCTTCCTGAGCTCCATCTCAAATTGAGTTAAGCATCCCTATGCCTCACATCACTGCATTGTTAATTTGGACAGGCAAACATTATCAGCATGGGTCAAATCCTAATAAAGATAATTCTACCAGACATCCACAACCTATCAACACATTGGAATGTCTCTTATAAAATTTATTCAGAAAACTCACACTCTTGGCACTTCTACTTCTGGCAAAGGTAGAACAACAGGGACCATATTTACCCTCCCACCTGAAACAACCAAAATTAACTGGACAAAATATAAAAAAGAACTGTTTTCAAGACACTGGACGTCAAGCAACAAAGAACAGAGATCTCTGGGAGATGGGAAACAGGTGAATCTTACAATTACCCCAGTTTATGGTTTTGAGAATTTCTAGGCTACAGGAGGGGGAATCTGGAGGGGGGCTTATAGTCTGAGGAGAGCATCTATATTAGAAAAGAAAGTTTCATATTAGTGACTTCAGATTCCACTATGCTGAAAAAAGAAGAGCAAGTCAAATTCAAAGCAGAAGAAATTAAATAAAGATCAGAACCAAAATCAATGAAATAGAAAAAAGGAAATTATAGGGAATAATAAAAGCAATGATGATTGCTTGAAAATAATAAAAGCAATAAAGCACTAGCCAAAGTGATCAGGAAAAAAGAAAGTCAGTCTCAATTTACCAATATCAGAAATGAGGGAAATGAGAATCACTACAGATTGTATGGCATTAAAAAAATAAGGAGGGGCACCTGGGTGGCTCAGTCGTTAAGCATCTGACTTCGGCTCAGGTCATGATCCCAGGGTCCTGGGATCGAGCCCTGCATTGGGCTCGCTGCTAGGCGGGAAGCCTGCTTCTCTCTCTCCCACTCCCCCTGCTTGTGTTCCCTCTCTCACTGTGTCTCTCTGTCAAATAAATAAATAAAATCTTAAAAAAAAAAAAAAAAGGAAATACTACGAATAACTTTATGCCAATAAATTCCACAGGATAAATTGATATGGACTAATTCCTCAGAAGACACAAACTCAAGAAGAACATAATTAGTTCTATAGCTATTAAATAAACTGAAATTTTCATGAAAATCTTCCCCACCAAAAAACCCTCCAGGCCTACGTGGCTTCACTGATGAATTCCATTAAACATTTAAGGAAAATATACTATCAATTCAAGACAAACCCTTCCAGAAAGCTGAAGAAGAGGCATTTATCAACTCATTCCATGGGGCCAGCATCACCCTAATACAAAAACCAAAGACATGATAAGAAAACTATAGACCAATATCCCTCATGAACCCAGGTGCAAAATTTCTAAACAAAATATTAGCAAATTAAATCCAACAATTTATAAAAAGGATAATATATCATGGACAGTTGGGGTTTATCATTTGAAAATCAAAGCAATTCATCATATTGCCAAACTGAAAAAGTAAAACCATATATATGTTCATTGCAATAGATACAGAAAAAACATTTGGCAAAATTCAACATCTATTCCTGATCTTAAAAAACAAAAACAAAGAAAACCCCACTCTCAGCAAACCAGGAACAGAAGGAAACATCTTCAACCTGATAACAGCATTTACCAAAAGAAAGCAAAACCAAAACCAACAAAACACACCTACCACTAATCGCAGACTTAATGGTGAAAGACTAAATACTTTTTCACTAATATTAGGAATAACAGAGATGTCTGCTTTCACCCCTTCTATTCATCACTGTACTGACAGTTAATAGCCAGTGCAATGAGTCAAGAATAAATGGCATCCAGATTGGAAAAGAAGAAATAAAACTGTCTCTAGTGGCAGATGACATGATTGCCTATTTAGAAAAGCTAATGAAAAATACAAAAAAACTATTAGAATTAAAAAGTGAGGTTAGTAAGGCTGATGGATATAAATTCAATACACAAAAATCAATAGTAGTCTATATACTATTGCAACAATTGTTTAAAATACTCAGGACTTGGTTTTTATTCAGGATGGTAAGGCTGATAGATCAGGAGATGACTGTCATTGAAAAGACAGTTTGTGACTCACTGTTCTCAAAGGGGGGTGCACACTATGTCATACAGGGCCACATGGGGAAGGATCAGGTCAGTCAGGAGGCAGACAGTGCAAGAGGAAAGCATGGGCCAGAATTTTTACTGTGACGTTTCATAGAAAGGAATGGGAAAGGCAGGGTAGGTGAGCTGAGCAAGTTTAGGATTAGATTGTTTGAATAATTTTGTCAGGCTCTGGGTTATACAGGTGATCCCTAGTTGTCTGTACCTGGCCCTGGAATAATTTAGGAGAGGAGAAGAGTAGTCCTGACTGCAGAAGCCTGAGGAGAGGAAGCAGATAAGCGTATGGACTTAAGATCGGCTGATGTGCATATCAAAGGTGTGCTTGCAGGCAAGTTTCCCCGCTCTTTCTAGTAAATAGCTAACCCTGAGAGGAGGCAGTCCCTCTCCAGGTCTGCAAGGCCTGAAGACATCAATGTATCAAAAATATAGAACGTAAAAAACATGACTAATACAAAAGTAATTAGGAATTGAAATTTTAAAAATACCATTTGAAAAGAGCATCCAAAAATGTGTAATAAATGGGGGAAACCTGCAAAAGATGTCTCAGATCTGTAAGTGAAAACTATAACACATTGTTGAAAGAAACTAAAGACCTAAATAAAATGAATGGAGAGATATACTTTGTTCATGGGACAGAAGATTTAATATTAAGATATCAGATGTCAACTCTCACCAAATTCATTTATCAACAGATTCAACACAATTCCAATCAAAATCACACAGGCTTTTTTTTTTTTTTTAGAAATTAACAAGCTGATTCTAAAATTCATATGGAAATGCAAATGACCTTAAGTAGACAGAACTTTTTTTTTTTTTTAAAGATTTTATTTATTTATTTGACAGAGAGAGACACAAGCGAGAGAGGGAACACAAGCAGGGGGAGTGGGAGAGGGAGAAGCAGGCTTCCCGCCGAGCAGACAGCCCGATGCGGGGCTCGATCTCAAGACCCTGGGATCATGACCTGAGCCAAAGGCAGTCGCTTAACCGACTGAGCCACCCAGGTGCCCCAACAGAACAACTTTTAATAAGAACAAACCTGCATAGCTAACACTACATAATTTCAACTTAATATGAAGCTACTGTAGGGGTACCTGGTGGCTCAGTTAGTTAAGCACCTGACTCTTAATTTCAGCTTAGGTCATGATCTCAGGTTTGTGAAATCAAACCCCAAGTCAGGCTCTGTGCTCAGCAGGGAGTCTGCTTCTCTCCCTCTCCCTCTACCTGTCCCCCCACCACCATCCTGCACTCACATGCTCTCTCTCTTTCTCTAAAATAAATAAACAAATCTTTTTTAAAAAGCTACTGTAATTAAGACTGTGGTAATGTAACAGCACCAAGATAAACAGATCACTGGGACAGAAAAGAGAGTCTAGAAATAGTTCTACTTATATATGGACAAAGGTGCAAAGACAATTCATTGAAGAAGGGGCACAACAATCAGATATCCATATACAATATACACACATATATGTATACCATAAACCATATATAAAAAGTAACTCAAAATGGATCATACATCTGAAGATAAAACCTAGAGCTATAAAACCCCCGGAAGAAAACATGAGTAAAAATCCTTGTGACCTTGGGTTAGGCAAAGCTTTCTGAGATAAGACACCACAACCTCAATCTATAAAAGAACTGATAAACTGGGCTTCTTCAAAATTTAAATCATTTGCTCTTTGAAAGATACTGTTAAAGAGAATGAAAAGACAAACCACAGACTGAGAGAAAATATTTGCAAATCTTATTTAATAAAAGACTTGTATCTAGAATATATGTTTTTAAAAAAACGCTCAAAACTCAATAAAGGAAAGGATCTTGGAAGATGGTGGAGTAGGAAGCACCAGGAATCTTTCTCCCCACCTAGACAACAATTTCACTGGCATGATCTGTTTAATGTGATAATTTTGTAACTCTAGAGTCTATTAAGGCTTGTAACTTCCAGGGGGAAGACTTGAATGATAAATTTTGGATAAATTCAGCTCTTAGCAAAATAGCAGCTACATATCCTAGCCATGTGACGGGCAGCTATGCACATGTTCCTGGAGCAGCTTACGCACAGCCCAAGTTGGGCAAAGACACTGTCCTCCAAGTATCAGAAAAAAGATCCTGTCTTCCAAATATTAGGGATCTGTGCTCTGATCACAGACTGCTGCTTCTGATCACAGAAGTGTGAAGGCCAGCAGCCATTGTTG